AAACTTTTCCAGGATCTTAAAACCGGGGTCTCCAAACTTTTCAAAGGGCAAGCTTACGGTCTTTCAGACTTTAGGGGAGCTGAATTATGACCAGTAATTGTAGAAAGTGTCCCAGACCCAGAATCAGTGAGACTAAATATTGCCTCAGCTCTGCTGGTCAGTTACACAGCACCCGTGGACCGTATGAGGAATAGCGCCACCATCATTACTATTAGTGGGAGCAATAGCGCCACCATCATTGGTATTAGTGGGAGAAATAGCGCCACCATCATTGGTATTAGTGGGAGCAATAGCGCCACCATCATTGGTATTAGTGGGAGCAATAGCGTCACCATCATCGGTATTAGTGGGAGCAATAGCGCCACCATCATTGGTATTAGTGGGAGCAATAGCGCCACCATCATTGGTATTAGTGGGAGCAATAGTGCCACCATGATTGGTATTAGTGGGAGCAATAGTGTCACCATGATTGGTATTAGTGGGAGCAATAGCATCACCATCATTGGTATTAGTGAGAGCAATAGCACCACCATCATTAGTATTAGTAGGAGCAATAGCACCACCATGAATGGTATTAGTGGGAGCAATAGCGCCACCATCATTGGTATTAGTGGGAGCAACAGCGCCACCATCATTGGTATTAGTGGGAGCAATAGCGCCACCATCATTGGTATTAGTGGGAGCAATAGTGTACCATCATTGGTATTGGTGTGAGGAATAGTACCCCATCATTGGTATTACTGGGAGGAATAGTACCCCATCATTGGTATTACTGGGAGGAATAGTACCCCATCAATGGTATCAGTGGGAGGAATAGTACCCCATCAATGGTATCAGTGGGAGGAATAGTACCCCATCAATGGTATCAGTGGGAGGAATAGTACCCCATCAATGGTATCAGTGGGAGGAATAGTACCCCATCAATGGTATCAGTGGGAGGAATAATGCCCCACCATTGATTTCAGTGGAAGAAATAGTGCCCTATTGTTGGTGTCAGTGGAAGGAATAATGCTCCATCATTGAGCTTGGTAGGAGGACTATTATTATACAGTATTTATATAGCGCCAAAGGGTTTGCTCAGCGCTGTATATAGCACCCCTTCATTGATATTAGTGGGAGGAATAATGCCCCATCATTAGTATCAGTGGCAGGAATAATGCTCCACGGTTGGTGTCAGTGAGAGGAATATGGCCTCATATCAGTGAGAGGAATAGTGCTCCAAGGGCCAGATGAAGGTTAGCAAAGGGCTGCATCAAGCCCTCAGGCCGCAGTATGGAAACCACTGTCCTAAGAGAAGGTGCACTAATAGCAAGCTTGAGCGAAGATATGGTGTAAGCCAAGTATGTTTTTAGGCTATTTTTTTTTTTTTGTTTGTTTTTAAAGAAGAGAAAAGGGGCTGCAAAAATACAGTCCCAGTGATGGTTTATCTGAGGAAAGTACCAAATAGACAAGGTTTCCTACACTGAATAAACCCCTCACTGCCACAGGACTGTCAGAAGCAGACATGACAATGTCTCGATCTTGACAGTTTCAATCATCTTTAGGTCCCTTTCACATAGGCTGTCAATCCGTTTCTAATTCCCCAATATCACAGATCAATAATGGACATCAATGTATGCCTATGGGTGGCTGAATGTAAACAACAAATCTGAATAGACCCACCCACATTTTGGTCCATTTTGTTTTGTTGCACTGAATGGAAACAATTTGCGTCCAGGTCCACTTTTACTGACCTGAAAAAACAAAACAAAAGTGGTCTATACAGGCAAATGCATGTCCGCCTACATCTGGCCACCCATAGGGATTACATGGGTCCGTTATTCCTCCATCACAACATGAAGGAAAAATTGGAATGGACAACACGAATGTCACATATGTTGTATCCATTTCCAATCAGATCCACCTCAGCAGGGGATGAAACTAGGATCTGTGGCTGAGATGGAGCTGAGGGTGCCCATGTGAAAAATGGGAAAATCAGCTACAATCACTATTTGGATATTCAGAAAGCTGCGGGTTATTATAATTGATTGTAAGCTCGAAAGAGCAGGGCCCTCGAACCCCTCTTGTATTGTTTTTTGTTACTGTATTGTCTCATGTACTGTCCCCCACTATAATGTACAGCACTGAGCAAACCTTTTGGCGCTATATACTGTATAATAAATTATTATTATTATACAGGACTTGTATAGCGCCGACAGTTTGCTCAGAGCTTTACATTAGGAGGGAGACAGTACAGTAACAATACAGTTCAATACAAGAGGGATTAGAGGGCCCTGCTCCTTGGAGCTTACAATCTAGGAGGGTGATGACTGTCCGAATACAACAGCCAGCAGGGGAGATTCCTCTACCCATACTGTTTAGGCTGGCCATACATTATACAATTATCTGCAGATTTTCTGCCCAATTTCCTTTAGATTTACCTTCAACTATGTAGTGCAAGGGCTTGCCTAATTGGATACAACTGAAAGTGTTGTTTAGGTTTGTCCTCCTATTATATGGTTTTTGGTAAATCTAAACCAAAAATCTGCAGATAATTGTATAATGTATGGCCAGCCTTAGACTGGCAGAGAAACTATACTTATCAGACCTGACCTGATTTGCACTGAGAGATGACAGTGCAAAACAGTGAAGTACAGACAACATGCAAGGCTACTGAGCAAGAACCAGATACTACATAATATATATATATATATACACATACACATACACACATATATATATATATACACTGTATATGTGTGTGTATGTATATATATATATATATATATATATATATATATATATACATATATATACACACACACACACACACATATATATATACACATACATACATACACACACACACACACACATATATACACTATACAATCTGTCAAAACAATAACTCAAACTGGTGCGGACTTGCATCAGTTATTACATTAGTATATCTATGTAAAAAGATCATTATAGATTCCCTTGACGTACATCATCTTTTCCACACTACTGATATTAGACTGTCTCCCTTCATCTGCCCCAACGTCCTCCTTGCTGCAAGTTCACAATTGCCGTCTGCCCCAGCGCACGGCTTCTCTAACAAACACAAACATATGAAATGAATGTGGAAATGTACATTGCACACATACCCGACACTGCCATACGTTCTATAATTAGGTGTCCCCGGGAAGTAGCTGCCGTTCAGGCTGCTAATATAAGCAGCGCATTCTGCGGGCGCACGCTGGTGTACATAGAAAACACATTATGTGAACCAACCGCTGCTCATTTGCAATTCTGAGCTGTAAACAGAGCATGCATTAAGCTATGTACTACCGTGTAACCCTTTCATTGTCATACAGGAGGCACCGAAACAAGAAACATCACAGCTGTCATCTGGAGGAATACGAGGGTTTTCTAAGAATGTCCATCTCATCACAAACTACACCTTATTTAATGAAAATGTAGTCAGCCATAAAAAAAAAAAAAAAAAAAAAAAAAAAACAAACAAACAGAGAAAGGTTGCCGATAGCAACCAACCCAGCTTTAGACATATACATACAGCTGTCATCTACTTCCTGCGTGAGGTGTGTATCCATGGCAACCTCCGCCGCTTACAATATCATTTAAAAGGACAGCCCCAGCCAAACAGCTAAAAGTACAGATTGTACTGCCAAGAATGAACATTGCACCTGACTTCTGTGGTATAGACTGTAAGCTCCAAGGAGCAGGGCCCTCATATTCCTTCTGTACTGAAATGTATTGTTGCTGTATTGTCTCCCATTATATTGTAAAGCGCTGCGCAAACTGTTGGCGCTATATAAATCCTGTATAATAATAACTAAAGTTGAAGTGTGGCAGTGATTACAGTTCGGTCCATATATATTCGGTCCATATATAATTTTGGACACCCAATTTCAAATTCCCATGTCAATGCGATTTAGGGTGCAACTTTACAGACATCTGTGCGACTTCATGTACAGATATCTATGCAAGTCGCACCCAAAATCTGCAAAAGTAATGCGGGAACAACTTTTCAAATCAGTGCGATACCAACAGAGACAGAGTTGCACCAATTTAAACGGTTCCATTGCAGATCATTGGATGCAATTTGTAATGCGATTTGAACAGTCAAATCGCATAAAAATTCGCATCAGTGCGAACAAGGGCTAAGGGAGCCCCACTAACAGTAAAAACCTGATAAAGTGGGGAAAGATTAGAACATCAACCCAAGGCTGCACAGTTTCCCACACACCTTTCCTACAGAACAATATCCGTATACTGCAGATACTATCATTGTATCACGCACGGTGCAGCGCACATTTCCATAATAATACAAAACAAAACAGACGACTGACCAGAAATTGTGTCAAAGGGTAACTTCAGCCTAGATACCAGCTAAATATACACCATTTATAACACACAGACACAAGTCAGGAAAAAGGCCCTTTAACCACTTGCCTACTGGGCACTTATACCCCCTTCTTTACCAGGCCAATTTTCAGCTTTCAGCGCTGTCGCACTTTGATTGACAATTGCGCAGTCATGCAAAACTGTACCCATATGAAATTTTTATCATTTTTTCTCACAAATAGAGCTTTCTTTTGGTGTATTTAATCGCCGCTGGACGCTTTACTTTTTGCGCTATAAACAAAAAAAGTGCAAAAAATTTGAAAAAAAATAAAGTTTCTTGTTTCTATTATAAAATGTTTCAAACAGGTAATTTTTCTCCTTCACTGATGTGCGTTGATGAGGCAGCACTGATGGGCACTAATAGGCAGCACTAATGAGGTGTCACAGATAGGCGGCACTGATAGGCAGCACTAATGAGGTGTCACGGATAGGCGGCACTGATAGACAGCACTGAAAGGTGGCACTGTGGCATCACTGCTGGGCAATGACTGGCGGCACTGCTAGGCATTGACTGGCGCAACTGCTGGGCACTGACTGGCAGCACTGCTGGGCTGCACTGGTGGGTGGCACTGGTGGGCGCACTGCTGGGTGGCACAGGTAGGCAGAACTGGTGGGTGGCACTGCTCGGCACCGATCATCAGGGCACTGATGATCGGCACGATCCCTGCTGATCACATGTAAACAGGTTAATGCTGGTTATCTGCATTTCTCTCCCCACGAGCTGTCACGCTGACAGCTCGAGAGGAGAGGAGAGCCGGTAATCGGCTATCCGCGGAGGGTACATCTACACTGATCATCAGAGCACTGATGATCAGTGTGCCCTGATGATCTGTGTAGCCCCAGCTGTGCCACCTGTCAGTGTCCATCAGTGCCAGCTGTCAGTGCTCATCCATGCCACCTGCCAGTGCCACATTTCAGTGCCCATCTGAGCTGCCTTTCAGTGTCACCCATCAGTGCTGCCAATCAGTACCACCTATCAGTGCAAGTCAGTGCCGCCTATCAGTGTGCATCAGTGCTGCCTATCAGTGCCATATATGAGTGCTGCCTTTCAGTGCCCATCAGTGATGCCTGTCAATACCCATCAGTGCCACCTACCAGTGCTCCTCATCAGTGCCCATCAGCGCAGCCTATCAGTGCCCATCAGCGCAGCCTATCAGTGCCCATCAGCGCAGCCTATCAGTGCCCATCAGCGCAGCTTCATTAGCGCACATCAGTGAAGGAGAAAAATCACTTATTTACAAAATTTTATAACAAAAACTAAGAAAAAACGTTTTTTTTTTTCAACATTTTCAGTGGTTTTTGGTTTAAGTAAAAATAAAAAACCCAGAGGTGATTAAATACCACCAAAATAAAGCTCTGTCACAAAAAAAATGATAAAAATGTAATATGGGTACAGTGTTGCATGACCGCACAATTGTCATTCAAAGCGCAACAGTGCTGAAAGCTGGAAATTGGCCTGGGCAGGAAGGGGGTATAAGTGCTCTGTAGGCTTGTGGTTAAAGAGCACCTGTCATTTTAGATCCATCATGACAGCGCCTGTTAGCAGGCATCCACTCACCCACTGCCGCCACTTTGTTGTGTCAGTGCCGCATCACCAGCCATCCCATTAAAGTGAATGGGACTGTCGGTGAGTCAACAGCGGGTCAGAGGAGGAGCCGCTGCGGGACAGAGATGACAGTTTCTCTTTAAAAATTATGATTTAAATTGAGCCTTTTCACTAGTGATATAAATCAACTTTATTTAAAACAAATCCACCCTGAAACAAACCAAGATTCAAGAAAGGATACACATGGCTTCTTGTATTTAGACAATATTTGCTTATCACAGAGTTCAACTTTAGCCAACTTTTCCTTCAAAGATTATTTTGTCATTTAGTTCAACATTTTGAGATGGTGGAGGGGCCCTCATTGAATAGGTGGCCCTTACTCTTTTAGTCCAAGGCTTGCTTTAACAGGATCTGCTAAGAACTCCTTTAGCTGAACATCACTTCTATTCAATTGTATTCCCTGTACTTTCCAAGTAAAGCAGAATATTGTGCCTGAACAATGGCAGAAGAACATAAACATATTGCAAAGTGTGGCTCTGGGCTAAGACCGCACTCACACGCTCTTCCAACCAGACAGAACAATGCCACTGAATGGGCCAAGCCTGCTCTAGGCACTCCATCTCCGAATGTGGTAAATAACTTCACTATGCTTTGTACCCAGCAGCATCATTATAGTACTGAGATAAACAGGACATTGGAAGAATACAATGCATACCTTTGCATCGACTGGAACACTAGTTGTGTTAAAAATAAATAAAAAAAATGTTAAAAAAGGAGCAGCGCAATGGCTAAGTGGTTCTGCCTCGTGCCACTAGGGTCTCCAGTAGTTCAAATGCCGGCCAAGACTATCTGCATGGAGTTTGCATGTTCTTCCTGTGTGAGTTTCCTTCACTCCCACTCTAAAGATGTGCTGGGAGGTTAAATGGTTCCTGTCTAAATTTGTCCTAGTATGTGCATGTGAGATAGGGACTTAAAGAAGTTGTAACGTCAATTTTTAATAAACACGTTATACTAATCTATTCTGTGCAATTGTATTCCTCCTTCTCTGGAGCCCGCACAGCCACAGTCTGCTCCTCCTTTGCTGTGTGTGCCCCCATAGCAAGTTGTGTGCTATGGTGGCACTCCTGCGGTCGCACTACTGAGCAGAGCTGAGCTGAGCTGTGCACATCCATAGATGCAGACAGTGCATCTTGGCTCTGCCCCCCACTGGATTTGACTTTCAGCAGCAGGAGGCAATGCTCTCAAGAAGCTCTGCTCACTTTTAGGCGATCGCTGAAAACCTATCTCTTCATGGAAGCCTATCCTGCCTTCAGCTAATAATGGAATCTTCTATTCCTCCTACCAGTCCATCCCCCACAGTTACTACGTCTTGTACCACTAGCCCCTCCCTCTTAGATTGTAAGCTCCGAGGATCAGGACCCTCCTAACCTTGTATTGAACTGTATTGTTGCTCTATTGTCTCCCTTTATATTGTAAAGTGCTGAGCAAACTGTTGGCGCTATATAAATCCTGTATAATAATAATCCTGTGAATGTAGGAAGAGAGGAGAAGCTCCTTGATGGCAGGGCTGATATGAATGTACCATATGTAAAGCGCTTCATAAATTGCCTGTGCTATATTAACACCTGTAATAAAATAAATTACTAGAATAATTATTCTCATGAAACAATACATCAAAAGAAAGCCTCGCTGAACTCAGAAAGAAATGCAAATCACTAAACATATATAAAAAAAATAAATTAAAAAAAAAGCCAAATCCAGAAAACTTTCAGGAATATTTACAACCCAAAATGGGCTAAAAAAACGGACTAAAGCTCAGACCCCCCAAAAACTGCCAAAATAAAGTAAAGTATAGACAGCATTATTTGGCACCCAGGACTAGAATTGTCACAGCTGTCAAGTAGAAAAGCTTATCTACAAAACAAGGTCAAGGAAAAGCGACAAAGCACGCCATAATGAACAGAAGGCCATCTGTAAGGCTGCCCATACAGGAGTCATTTTATTTGAGATTGATAGAACGACTTGAGTACAACCAGCCTGCCCGTGGTCAGAGAGCAGACAAGGACTGAGACCAGGAAGGCATCTGCTGCACATACCTATTTTATTTGATTCCATTTCTTCCAGTGACAAGGGCCATAAAGTTTGATCTCCATGCTGCATTGACTGGTGACCACAAACTACTACAAGCAGACACCCGATGCTGAAAGCAGAAAGTTGACCTACAGGAAAGCATAGTTATAATGGAATTCCAGCCTATTGCTAACAAAGCTTAAAGGATAAGTTCACCTATGTAACATGTTACACCCATATTCAGGGAGTAACACGTATCATGTTACATATAGGGCAGCACAGTGGCTAAATGGTTAGCACTCCCACCTGGCAGTACTAGGGCCGTTGGTTTGAATCCCAACCACGGCACCACCTGCCTGGAGTTTGCATGTTCTCCCTGTGCCTGCGTGGGTTTCCTCCCACACTCCAATGACATGCTGGTAGGTGAATTGGATCCTGTCTAAATTGGCCCTAGTATGTGTATGTATGAATGTCAGTTAGGGACTTTAGATTGTACAACCCTTGAGGGTTAGGGACTGATGTGACTGTACACTATATAAGTAGAGCGCTGTGTAAATTGACAGTGCTATACAAGTACCAGAAATAAATATGCACCGGCCTCCTGTACCAACCCTCCCCCTTCCTGAGTCCCCATTTTGACAGCGGGAAGGGGATCTCCCACCCCCCATGCTCCCCGTAACAATCAAAGAATATGCAATCGTACAGAGCTCTGCCCAACCCGCGTAATTCATTCGCAGTGTTCTGTGAATGGGAATACTACAAGTACTGACAGCCTTTGCAGCTGTTGGCTTGTAGTTCTCAATGAACTGCCAGGGCACGGTTGAGCTTTCAAGGTTCTTCGCTGAGCTTCCTGTCATTGTGTAAACTGCCTGTCTGTATCAGACGTACGGGCAGACAGCTACACAGTCTGCAGGACTGTGGCATCACATTTGCCATTACGATTTGCTGATCGTGGGTGCAATGCCTTACAGGCTCCTAACAAAAAAAATTTAAATAAATAATAATAAAATGTATTTTTTTTTACCTGCAAAAAAAAATGTGCATTTATTTTTTTGGTAAAGGCGAAGGTATCCTTTAAACCTGCCCCTCCCCCCTTGTTACTCCAATTCTAGCTACCCTGTGAAAAGAAGAAGCTTATACTTACCTATTCTCTGAGTGCTCCAGTCTGGCCACGTGATCTCCCTAGTGGCCAGCTTCAGAGGATAGGAGAGATCGTAGACAACGAATAATATGTCTGGGCAGTTACATCACCCATAGGCGTACTATGGGTCATCTGTTGTTGGCACTCCCTCCTGTGCCCTGAAACCGGCCTCCTTGACCAGACTGGAGCGCCCTCAGCAGAGGTAGGTATAAACCTCTTTCTTTCACAAGGAAATAAGAGTAGGAGTGAGAAAGGGGGGTAGGAGCAGGTTTTTGCATAGTTAGCAGTAACCTGAAATTCCACTTTAAAATTTATGTCTTTCTGCTAAAGCAATGTGTGATCTCTGGTGATTACATGACTGCACTGCAACAATGCCTACTTCTGAGTGGAAGCACTGAAGACGCTGAATTAAAACAAGTAACTGCACAAAGCAGATATTTACCTTGTTCCCAGTTCCAGTGTAGACTACAGACAAGCTGAATGTAAACAATGCAATGTTTTAGCTGCTTGAAATTGCAATCACAGACCCCAAGGCACAGGACAAACAAATTGGAGAGAAGAGGATTTATCTACAAAATTGGTACATGCTTCTCATAGTAGTTATCTCCTAAAGCTGACACACAATTAAAACAAATCCTCAAGTCATCTCCATTTACCTGGCACTCACATCGACTAGTCTATATGTCAGTATAGCAATTGCTTAGTATAGGGCAGTGCAATGCAGGGTTATTGCCAATAATCTCCACTTTATCAACTTGTATAGAAAACTGGCCCCATTTTGTTGAGCCGAGTTTGGGTTCCAAAATCCAATATTGTGTAATGACCTTTATTCTACGGCACTGTGTGCTGTTCTTTATACATAAGCATTTCCAGAATTTCTTAATGAGCCTGTTCCAAAAAATGTTTGTAATTCCTAATAAAAGCACAAAATAATAGAAATTATTGGAAAAGAACAAAACGGGACAAACTGGCTATAAATGGGTCAGTTTTTTTCCATACAGCCAGTGGGTGGTCGACCACGAATGTGTGGAAGGGGGAATCCTCCCACTGCGTCACTGTAGTCTGACAGTGGGGAGACTGATCGAGAGGAAATTTTCCAGCAGGGCAGCTGTACAGAAGTCGATTGGTAGATCAACTTCTGTAGAACCACAGTGCTTATACATGGATCAAAATGTGTCCTGTCCCTGCTGAACCAGCCAAATGTTGTTCCATCTATGGGCAGCTTTACAAACCAGCCTAACTACAAACTTCCAGATGCCAGTCTCCGTT